ACACTTGACAGTACATATATTGCTGCACTGAGGACTTTTACTTTCCGTACAATTTTATTTTGGAGGATTGATTTAAATTCACACCACTGGATGGTTGGGGCATGTTTTATGGTTACTAACTATGGCTTTTGGGGCATAGGTTTTACTGCCCCTGCTACTATAGTAGAATCAGGTGCAGTGATTGACACTCATCTACCCTACACACAGGTATATCTTGTTAATGTAGATATTCACGGGTAGGAGATACAGTATCTATACCTTCGTTTTCCCAGGAGTATTTCTGAGGTGCATTGTGAAACTATTCAGGCAAGGACTACTGCTGTCCCACTTTGTCCTTTCTCAGTACCATCAGAACCTAGACAGGATCAAATCTAGGGAAGTATTGAGTTTTGTGACCATTAAAATACTAACTGGAGTTTTACTTCAAAATCAGTGAATTATAAATGTATCACTTCTTAGAGTCTCTTATTGGATTAACAAAATAAAGTCATTAATTTACAGACTGGGTGCTTTTGAGATTGCACAAAAACAAAGCAATCCACTAGACTGCTTCTTCAGGGGATTTAGCTGTCAATAAAATGGATAACCACATTCATATAATGTTTTTTTTGATAAACGAACTGAAATGGTAGCATTATCTAAACATTTGAGAAACCTTTTTGATCAATCACAATTTACGATGCTATGGAAACAAAGTAACAGGCAAGGTTTCTGCTCTTAAGGAATGTATAACTGAATAATCAAGAAAATGGAAAATAGAACTGGAGAATCAACTATGAATAGACGTACAGTTGACTCTTGAACAATGCAGGAGTTAGGGGTGCTGACCTCTGCACAGTCAATAATCCGTATATAACTTTTGACTCCCTAAAAACTTAACTACTAATAGCTTACTGTTGACCGGAAGCCCTGAGAACTTAAATTGTTCATGAATGCATGTTTTGCATGTTATATGTATTACATACTGTATTCATATAATAAAGTAAGCTTGAGAAAAGAAAACGTTATTACAAAAATCTTAAGGGAGAGAAGACATATTTACTATTAAGTGGAAGTGGATCATCATAAAGGTCTTCATCCTTGTCTTCAGGTTGTGTAGGCTGAGGAGGAGGAGGAAGAGGAGGGGTTGGTCTTGCTGTCTCAGGGGTGGCAGAGGCAGAAGAGGTGGAGAAGGTGGAAGGCGAGGAAGGAGAAGCAGGCAATTAAGTATAACTTTACAGATTTCTGCCTTTTTTATTTTTTCCTTTCTCATGAAATGTTTCTATACAGTATCAATCCTTCCTCCACTATTTGCTTTAGTTTCAGTGCCTGTATTGTAGAAGGGTCCAAGTCATAAAAGAAGTCAAAAGCAGTCTTGAATAATTGGAACACTTTGCCAGATTGTCTAAAGTCAGTTTGTTTTCTGGACTGCTTCTTCTGCCTTCTTCCTCATCACTTGGCACTGGTTTGGAAGCACTCATCTCCGCCAAGTCATCTTCTGTTAATACCTCTGGTGTGGTGTCTGTTAACTGTTGAATTTCTCTAAATTGCGTATCTTGAAACCACCTTCAACTGCCACCTTTTTTGCCATATCCACAATCTCATGATTTCCTTGATCAGCTCTGTTGTAAATCCTATGAAGTCATGTGCAACATCTGTACAGTTTTCTCCAGCAGGAATTTAGTTGCCAGCTTGATGGCTTTTGCAGCTTTTTCTATAAAATCGTGGCATCTTCAATGGTGTAATCCTCTCAGACTTCCGGGGTTCTCTTCCAATAGTGTTGACAGTCCTTTCCATAGGGGACTTTATGTAATGAACCTTAAAGGTCCTTAAGACCCACTGATCTAGAGATGTTTTGTTTAAGGGCAGGTAGACCACTTTTATATCTTTGGTGTTGAATCCATGAAGTTCTGAGTGGCCAGGGGCATTGTCCAGTATTAAAAAAACTTTAAAAGGCAGTCCCTTATTGGCAAGGTACTTCCTGACTTCAGGGACAAAGCATCCATGGAACCAGTCCAGAAAAAGGGTTCTCATTGTCCAGGCCTTCTTGTTGTATAACCCAAAGACTGGCAGCTACTGTTTACCTTTTCCCTTCAAAGCTCAGAGTTTAGCAGTCTTACAGATAAGAGCAGTTCTGATCATAAACCCAACTGCAATTTGCACAAAACCGTAGTTAGCTTATCCCTTCCTGCTCTGAATCCTGGTACTCACTTCTCCTCCTTACTAATAAATCTTCTCTGTGGCATTTTTCCCTCCAGATTAGGGCACTTTCATTTGCATTAAAAACTTGTTCAGGCAGATATCCTTTCTCCTCAGTTTTTTTTTTTTTTGAAGACAAGAGTCTCACTCTGTTGCCTGGGCTAGAGTGCAGTGACATCATCATAGCTCACTGCAACCTCAAACTTCTGGGCTCGAGCAATCCTCCTGCCTCATCCTCTCCAGTAGCTGGGACTACTGATGGGAACCACCATGCCTGGTTAATTTTTCTATTTTTAGTAGAAACAGGGTCTTGCTCTTGCTCAGGCTGGTGTCAAACTCCTGGCCTCAAGCAGTCCTCCTGCCTTGGCCTCCCAGAGTGCTAAGATTACAGGTGTGAGCCACTGCAGTTCTCTTTTTAATAAAGAACTTCCAAATAACATGACCTAAAGAGGGAAGGGTTGTCAGAAGGTATGAAAGTACGGTATACAAAAGCAAGATTAGGAAGGAGATAAGACTGTGTAAGGAAATGGAGACCTTTGAGACTGACCTTCTAGTGTCGCTTTTAACATACAACTTCCTAAAGTTTCATAGGTTGAAATATGGGTTTCTTTGACATGGATAAATGTGTAGACATTTAAACTTATATACTCTATTTTTAAATCTCTGAAAACTGTTACATGATTTTGGTTTATATTTTAAGTGCACAAGAATTATGCAGGCACTTTAGACTAAGAATAATTGCTCTGTCTTCTGTCTAAATGATGTATTTCTCAGAATTATAATAATTAAGCTAA